TCACATGGCTGAACAAGAAGGCTGAACCACTCCGGAGCAATCCACGCAGGGGCGCGTCCCACCATGCAGGCGGCAGCTGCAGACACGGCCAGGCTGTGGCGGTGTCCGAGGACCAGAGGCCAGGAACACGCAAGCATTCTAGCTGGAGCTGGTCGACGTGCAAGGCTGGTGGGGATATTTTTTTCGGTCGCGGCCACGAGACGACGGTCAGGCGGCGAAAGCAAAGTCCGGGACGCGAGCTGAGCAAATTAGCTCGGACAGGCGCAGGCCGGCCGGCCCACTCAGACGGCAGCTGCGGGCTGGGTGAAGCTGAACTGACCGGCGCACTGCAAGCTCGGGCACGTGCACAGGACAAAATGTCAGTTTATTCGAGCGGCCAAGTCACAACCCGCACGGGAAGGCGCGGACCACGATGAGCAAGTCCTTTGTGCAAGGTGAAGACGCGCTGGCCATTGGAGTGAGTCGCCGATGTGGCGCCAGGCTCCAAGCGGACGACCTGCTATCCACTCAGGCTGAACAGTCGTGAGCCGAGGTGCAACGCACAAGGGAGGCTGAAGGTGGGCCTGTAAGACTGCACCTGTTGCGGAAGGCTGAACCACTCTGCACTATGGCCAGCCCCAGTCAGACCACACCACAATGCCGGGGGGTAGCCGGGCAACTGTGAGCCATCCGGAACTGGTGGGGATACGCGAAGCGTCAACAATTTCTCACAATCTGTGCGTACCTCCTCGAATTCGGCCTCCAAGGCACGTTATCGGGACCCAGGACCATCAAACACGGGTCCGAGACGAAACCGTGGAAGGGGGTCGGGACCTAATCCGTCCTTGGATCAACTTGGGTGTCTGGGGCCTCTCTCGGTGCCCTCTTGGGCCGTGGGGGGCATTGGAGAATCTCTCGAGCCGCCTTGGAGCATCATGGAAGAGTCCGTCTTGTGGCCTCTCTTGGGTCGCCTTGGTGCCGTCCGGCTGTTCCCCACATCGGTGAGCCTGCCGTTTGATAGCTTCACCATAGTCTCATCGTCAGGCTCTGGCAACACCCGAATCCAGCTCTGAGGTCAAGTACGTCAGCGTCTCCCTGATGTTTGAACTCTGTCTGGCCGCATGTGCAGGGCCTCGATGCTTCAACTGACGCGTTCCCTCAAAGAGGCGTGCGAGACTTCACAGACTGCGTCGGCCCGATCGTGTTCACCAGCTCCATCAGCTTTCAACACGTGGTTGGTAATTCGTCTCTCTCTAGTCTGTCATCATCTGAATATCCCAAGCGCTGGCCGAAACTGTGCTCGCTGCTGCTATTGTTGAACTTCGCGGTTGATGATGCGTGACAAGCCTGCGTGCATGCTGCAGCTCGCAGCTCATCCACTTCATGATGTAGGTCTCGGCGTCGTTCACTTGCCACTTACAGCATTGTGATCGTTGGTTGACGCGTCTGGGTTGGCACGGAAGGCTGAATTCTCGCAAGTGCAACGTTCCTATCGCAGAACGCGCATCTGCAGGACTCGAGGAAACTCGAGAGACCTAATTCACACCACTGCTCGCGATCGGGTTGTGGTTGCAGCCATGGCCGTGAAGACGACATGTAGCCCCGATCCAAGAGTACGCAACATTAAATAAGCCCGCTCCCCACGACGGTGCAGGACACGGCAAGCTGCGAGGTCGGTGTCGGGTGACTTGCAAGCTTGAACAAAAGCAGCAGCCAGGAACCGAGCATTCCCCTGACCCAGGACATAGTAGCTCTAACGCTGCTCCCTCCTCATCCGCATCTTCCTATACCTCCTTATCCCCCCTTCCCCTCCCCCTCCTCCCCCTCCTCCTCCTCCTCCTCCTCCTCCTCCTCCCTCCTCCTCCTCCTCCTCCTCCTCCTCCTCTTCGTCATCGTCATCATCAGCATCATCAGCATCATCATCATCATCATCAGCAGCAGCATCGTCATCACCACCTCCACCACCACCATCATCATCATCATCATCATCATCATCACCATCACCATCACCATCACCATCACCATTAACATCATCATCACCACCACCATCATCATCATCAGCATCATCATGGCTATCATCATCATCATCATCATCATCATCATCATCATCATCATCATCATCAATATCAACAATCACCATCATCATCAGCATCATCATCAGCAGCCTCAACATCATCAGCATCATCATCATCATCATCAGCATCATCATCATCATCATCCTTCTCATCCTTCTCCTCCTTCTCCTCCTTCTCCTCCTGCTCATCCTCCTCGTCCTCCTCCTCATCATCCCTCTCCTGTCCCCTGGACAATCCTCCTCCTTCAGTTCTCCTCACCCAGCCTGGTGCGTGCGGAACACTTCTTCAACCTTCTTGTCGCAGCCCACCACGATACGAGTCATGTTTCCACACTGGCCCTGGTGCCACGCCGAGTTGAGCAGCACCTTGTGGGGGGCACACCGCCACCATCGCCGCCACCGCCGCCGCCGCGACCGCCGACGGGAGGAGGCGGGGGTGAGAGGGAGGAGAAGCGCCTTGCCGCACCGCTCCCGTCCTCCGCCTCGTTCTCCTGCCCATCCTCCGGCAGATTCGCCTCATCCATTATCCTCAGCCTTTCTTGTTTGCCCCTGCCGCTCTTCATCCTGCTTACTCCTCGTCGTCCTCACCATTCCTCCCACTTGCCACATCCTCCTCTTCTTCCGTCGCCTCCTCCTTCTCCCCCTCCTCATCGTCCTCTACCCTCTCCATCCCATTCTATCCTCCACCTCATACTTCCTCCTCCACCTCCTCCCAAGCTCATCAATTATCCTACCCCAGTCATTCGTCCACCCCGATCATCATCATCATCATCATCATCATCATCATCATCATCATCATCATCATCATCATCATCATCATCATGGCTATCATCATCATGGCTATCATCATCATCATCATCATCAGCATAATCATCAGCATCATCAGCATAATCATTGTGAGTATTATCATCAGCAGCATCATCATTATCAGCATCAGCATCAGCATCAGCATCATAATCAGCATCATCATCATCATCATCATCATCATCATCATCATCGTCATCGTGTTCGTCATCGTCATCGTCATCGTCATCGTCATGATCATCATCAGCATCAGCATCATTATCAGCATCAGCACCAGCATCAGCATCATTATCGCCATCGTCATCGTCATCATCATCAGCAGCAGCAGCATCGTCATCATCATCATCATCATCATCACCACCATCGTCATCAACATCAGCATCATCATCAGCATCCGTATCAGCATCAGCATCAGCATCATCAGAATCGTCACCATCAACCAAGAGCCATCAACGATATTGGAGAACGGGAAGAAGTGAAGGGGCCCCAGGACACACAAATAAATACACACAAATAAAAACATTCCCCATATTTCCCAACCATCCTGTGGTGTTGGGTCCTCGTTTTGAAGAGACGGTGCCCGCGTCCTCTCCTCTCCTCCTCTTCCCCCTCCTCCCTCCTCCCTCTCATCATCATCATCATCATCATCATCATCATCATCATCATCAGCATCATCATCATCGTCATCGTCACCGTCATCATCAGCATCATCATCATCATCGTTCTTATCACCATCGTCGTCATCATCATCGCCGTCTCCATCATGGCCACACGTTTCGTGGACCCATAGTGAGCTCCACCGAAGGCCCCAGTGGCAAGGTCCGCATGCGGTTCCACCTCCATTTCGGCGCACCCCTCACACGTTCCGTGGCCCCATAGGGAGCTCCACCGAAGGCCCAAGTGTCAGGGTCCGCATGCGGTTCCACCTCCATTTCGGCGCACCCCTCACACGTTTCGTGGCCCCATAGGGAGCTCCACCGAAGGCCCAAGTGTCAGGGTCCGCATGCGGTTCCACCTCCATTTCGGCGCACCCCTCACACGTTTCGTGGCCCCATAGGGAGCTCCACCGAAGGCCCAAGTGTCAGGGTCCGCATGCGGTTCCACCTCCTCGGCGCACCCCTCACGTTTCGTGGCCCCATAGGGAGGCCCAGTCCACAGGGTCCGCAGTGTCAGGGTTCCCATGCGGTTCCACCTCCATTTCGGCGCACCCCTCACACGTTTCGTGGCCCCATAGGGAGCTCCACCGAAGGCCCAAGTGTCAGGGTCCGCATGCGGTTCCACCTCCATTTCGGCGCACCCCTCACACGTTTCGTGGCCCCATAGGGAGCTCCACCGAAGGCCCAAGTGTCAGGGTCCGCATGCGGTTCCACCTCCATTTCGGCGCACCCCTCACACGTTTCGTGGCCCCATAGGGAGCTCCACCGAAGGCCCAAGTGTCAGGGTCCGCATGCGGTTCCACCTCCATTTCGGCGCACCCCTCACACGTTTCGTGGCCCCATAGGGAGCTCCACCGAAGGCCCAAGTGTCAGGGTCCGCATGCGGTTCCACCTCCATTTCGGCGCACCCCTCACACGCTTCGTGGCCCCATAGGGAGCTCCACCGAAGGCCCCAGTGTCAGGGTCCGCATGCGGTTCCACCTCCATTTCGGCGCACCCCTCACACGTTTCGTGGCCCCATAGGGAGCTCCACCGAAGGCCCAAGTGTCAGGGTCCGCATGCGGTTCCACCTCCATTTCGGCGCACCCCTCACACGTTTCGTGGCCCCATAGGGAGCTCCACCGAAGGCCCAAGTGTCAGGGTCCGCATGCGGTTCCACCTCCATTTCGGCGCACCCCTCACACGTTTCGTGGCCCCATAGGGAGCTCCACCGAAGGCCCAAGTGTCAGGGTCCGCATGCGGTTCCACCTCCATTTCGGCGCACCCCTCACACGTTTCGTGGCCCCATAGGGAGCTCCACCGAAGGCCCAAGTGTCAGGGTCCGCATGCGGTTCCACCTCCATTTCGGCGCACCCCTCACACGCTTCGTGGCCCCATAGGGAGCTCCACCTGAGGCCCCAGTGTCAGGGTCCGCATGCAGTTCCACCTCCATTTCGGCGCACCCCTCACACGTTTCGTGGCCCCATAGGGAGCTCCGCCTAAGGCCTAAGTGGCAGGGTCCGCATGCAGTTCCACTTCCATTTCGGCGCACCCCTCACACGTTTCGTGGCGTCATAGGGAGCCCCGCCTAAGGCCCAAGTGGCACGGTCCGCATGCAGTTCCACCTCCATTTCGGCACACCCCTCACACGTTTCGTGGCCCCATAGAGAGCTCCGCCTAAGGCCCAAGTGGCAGGGTCCGCATGCAGTTCCACCTCCATTTCGGCGCACCCCTCACACGTTTCGCGGCCCCATAGGGAGCTCCACCGAGGGCGCCAATGGCAGGGTCCGCATGCAGTTCCACCTCCATTTCGGCGCACCCCTCACACGTTTCGCGGCCCCACAGGGTGCTCCACCGAAGGCCCCAGTGGCAGGGTCCGCATGCAGTTCCACCTCCATTTGGCGCACCTCTCACACGCTTCGTGGCCCCATCGGGTGTTCCACCAACGACGATACTTACAACGGCGGCATTCGGAATTGCGTATGGTTGGGCCCTTCGCCAGGATAATTTCCCATATTTTCTGGGTTTCTGTCTTCCCCCCCACTTCCCATATTTTCCCATATTTTCCTGGGAGTGGACGATTAATTGTGTCTGTGTGTTTTTTCCCCTCCTGAAGGAGGAGGAGGAGGAGGAGGAGCAGGAGCAGGAGGAGGAGGATGAGGAGGAGCAGGAGGAGGAGGAGGAGGAGGAGCAGGAGGAGAGGAGGAGGGGAGGAGGGGGAGGAGTGGAGGAGGAGGAGGAGAAGGGGGGAAAAAGAGGAGGAGGAGGAAGAAGAGGAGGAGGAGGGCGGCGGCGCGGTGTTAAAACCGCATTCGCAACACTGGGAAGCAAATGCGTGAGGCTACTGGGGCCGGGCGGGACGACGGGCGCACGTCCGCTCGGGAGCGGGCTGCCGCCGTGCCGTCGCCTCCGCGCCGCCGCGCCGCTGCCCCTGGTGCTGCTGTGGTTGCGGCCGCTGCCCGCACAATCTCACCCGCCCCTCTCCCTCTGTGATCGCCTCCTCCTCCTCCTCCTCCTCCTCCTCCTCTCCTCCTCCTCCTCCTGCTCCTTCCTCTTCCTCCTCTCCTTCTCCCCTCCCCCCTCTCCTCCTCCTCCTCCTCCTCCTCCTCCTCCTCCTCCTCCTCCTCCTCCTCCTCCTCCTCCTCCTCCTCCTCCTCCTCTTTTCCTTCCCCTCCCGCCCTGCTGGTTTAAGTGGTGGTGCGCAAGCCCGACGCCTCCGCGCCGCCAGAGGTGTCGGCGCGCCGAGGCGTGCGCGCCGACGTTGAGCCCCGGGGGACGCGGTGGTGGTGGTCCTGCTGGGCTAAGTGCAGGCTGCCTCGGGACACAGGTTTGTCGTGAGGCGGGCCCGAGAGGGAGCTCCCTCGGCGGAGCCGCATTAGCACCCCAGGTGGACTACGCAGCAGCAGCAGCAGCGGCAGCAGCACGAGATCGTCCTCCTCTGATCAATCGCGACGACGATCCGAGACAGTAACACCAGCCAGCGACGGGCGACAACTCGCGGCGAGCTGGCGTGCCGTTCACTCCTGGCAACGCCGGGCTCACACTCACAGAACAGTAAGGATGCAGGGGGCAGCAGTGAGGGATATGGCCCGAGGGAGGGCGGGAGGGAGGGAGGATCCGCTGGCTGGGACGCGAGAGCGCAGGCAAATATCGAGCGGGGGCGCTGATCGGCGCATGGCCTGGGCTGAACGGACGGGTTCCGGCATCCGGGAGTGGCCGAACAACTGTCTGTAGGACGAACGGATGGTTTCCGGGATGCGGGAGTGGCCGAACCGTTATAAACCGGCCTGGGCTGAACGGCTGGGTGCCTGGTTTCGGGCATCGCTGGACCCAAAAAGAAGGAGAGGGACGAGGAAGGGGGAAGGGGTTCCTATGGGTGGGGCACCGAGCTGAGTGCCATCTGAGAAACGTACGCCGTGGAAAGAAAAGGATGGAAGCTCTCGTAGGCAATGCTCCTCGTCGGGCTCGTCCCAACCGGAGCCCTCGACGGGCCTGGAGCTCTCGTCGGATAGTCGAGCTGCCGCTGGAGCAGAACCTAGCGCTGTGCGTCACCACTCTCAGAGCTCTCGCCGGAGCCAAGCTGCTGCTGATACAGTAGAGGCCAGTCCACAAGAAACCTTCCACAAGAAACCCATCCCTGAGACCCCAGGACGTCCATGGATTTTTGGTATGGGAACGTCGCGCTCTCCATCGCAAAACCATCGAAACCCAAGAAACCCAGGGCACCCTGGAGGCAAGCAGGGTGTTTCTTGGCATGGGTCTCCACTGTAGATAGTGAATCTCTCTTTCTCTCTCTCTCTCTCTCTCTCTCTCTCTCTCTCTCTCTCTCTCTCTCTCTATATATATATATATATATACATACACCGACGCTTCTCCCAGCCCTGCATTGGAATTTGCACTGGAGAGCGGATCCTGGTGTATAAGGAA